GCTGTGTGGGAGTAGTCTGGGCGCCGAGCGCCAAGTAGGGGGAAGGGCCTGGACTCTTATGTTGGTGAAGACGAGAGTAAGCTCTCATTGACATTTGGTTTCAGTGTTACGATTCTCCATTGGTGTATTATTGGTGCAATGCTACTTTCTGGACACTGGAACTTGCTTTCAATGTGATTGTGCAATCTGGATTCTGTCATCTTGCTATTGCTCATTTTCCTTGCATTGGTAGACGAGGCAATAATCCTTCAAATTTCCTTTGTGGGGTATTCATACACTACTGCAGAACAATATAAGAATTGAGAACAATTGGATGTGCAGGAGGTGGAGAGATCTGGCAAGAAGATGGGAGTGTGAATTCTTCTCTATTCTGTTTTTGTCAGTGTGTACTACATTTGCTCCATGTCAGATAAAATTTCAGACATGGAGAAGAGAAAAGCAACAGACCATTGATCAAGGTACACATGAATCTGGTTTGACTGTCCATAAAATATATGGCTGGAAGTTAGATTGGACTATCCTGAATCGTGCGTAGTCCAGGGCCACACTTTTCTTGAATGCCAACACTTGAGACATATGCCAGTGAGCTATTGTCCCTGGCAGTCCGTCAGCAAGCTTTTCGTTGATGTGAAAACGTCATTGAAGGACTCGTAGGATTTGGCATTCCGGAGATTGTTAATTGTTCCTCTAATTGTGCAGTGACTTGCATTCACTTCCACTCAGCTTGGCCAACATAAACACGAGGTTATGTCCGCAGTGGGGGCGACACGGGGGGGGAGGGAGAGGAGGGGTGGACGAAATGGCGAGCGCTGACCTTGGTGATTGTTTTCCTACTGTTCAGAATGCACAGGTTTGAGTTCGCATGTGCACTCATTTTCACGCAGTAGTCCTGTAAAGGAAACAATATCATGGTGATTGTTCAAAGGAATCAAAACTTCAAAACAATATCTTAAACCACTACTACCTCGCTCGCTCTTGGGAAAAATGGGAAAACTGACAGTTTTCCTAGGCTGGTCCCCGGGCCGCCCGGCGACCCGGTGGTCGCCCGGGGGAGGGGGCCGGGCCACCTTGCCAGTTTATCCGCCCGGTTGGCCACCGGGTGACCCCAGCGCATCCCAGAAGAGGGGGCCAGTTTCGGCCGTTTTCAACATGGGGGACCTTCTTCCCCCCAACGGAGACCGTCCAGGCCAACGTACGAAAAAAAAAGAGCCGGTCGGCCCGATTTCAAGATTTCGAAATCGGGGCCTGTCTGCACTGTCGATCTCCAGGATCGACGGCCCAGATGGGCCGCAATTTTGAATCCCTGAGGGCGGGAACCACCGGCCCTCGTCCCCTGCCCCGTGACCTCTCCCGCCCGATGCCTCACTTCGCCCAACGCGTCACTTCAACGGGAGCTCCGCCAACGCCCGCCAACGCCGCCGATGCCCGCCAAGGTAAGTGGGTTAGTAGTAGGGGAGAGAGAGAGAGAGAGAGAGAGAGAGAGAGAGAGAGAGAGAGAGAGAGAGAGAGAGAGAGAGAGAGAGAGAGAGAGAGAGAGA